TTTTTTTAATATAACAAAAAGTTCAGATTCAATAGAAATTGGCACTTTTATAAAAAAAAAAAAAAAAAACCTTCCTGGCAGCCAATCACACAACCGATCCTGTTACTTCCTAGCAGTTTAGTTCAGAGGAGACAAACTCAAAATACAGGGAATTGCCCAGAGCAACTGCCTTGCAAAGTAGTCCCTACGTTGTCTCTGTATATCTTTTTACTGGATTGGAATTTCATTGAAATTTCAACAAAGTCAATATAAGTATTTCATAAAGATTCTATATTTTGAAGTGGGTGGGGTAGAGGGTGATATTGCCACTTTAAGCATTTATTGGCTAAAAGTTGCTCTTCATGACTAAATGTTATTATGTTTGTGTTTCATCAAAACCTATTACGTGATTTCATTATTTTATGCGTTAATGCTGGATGTGCCCATTAGGAAGCTACCCTTCTTTGTGAGGATGTGGTCTAAGAAATTGGGGCTCCCTCATTTTGATATGCCACAGTTGAAGAAAATATTTTCTTCTATACATGCATTATTTATAGGCTCCAACATGCAATTAGTTAATTACAAATTAGTAAGCAGATGGCATTATACCCATTAAATATTACATTGTAAAAAAAAAAATGGCATAAATTGTCCATCTCAATGATTCAATCCCTGATACTAAGGTAACTTTTATTGCAGAGTCATTTGTCTTCCACTATACCACTATATCACTTGGGAAGTGAAGTAAATGTATAATGTATGGAATACAATTAATACAATTAATAATTTATAAACCGGGTGTAAAGCCAGAGCCCACACTCCTTGCTTTTGGCAATTCAATAATATTTATTAAGCGGCTAATCAAACAAATAAACAATACATATACATTTGAATTAGGCTAATATATGTTGCTTCTAAAACTAGTCATTGATTGAATGGAAAGTAGACTAAATTAACACAGTGAAACAGGCATAGACATGTGATACAGTTACCACTCAATTGATCATCAGCTGAGAGTAAGAGAGAGGGAGGGTGTGTATAGTGGGGATAGGGAATAGAGAGAGAGGGTGAGGAGAATAAATTCAAAGAGAGAGAGAGAGAACAGGTTAGCCCTTCTTTTTGCTGGACACACTTCCCTCAGTCAATCCCTTAGAATCTAACAATACCAGAGTGCCTCCTGGGGGGAGGGGGGTTGCATTGGAAGGGAATGGAGGAGGAGTTTGTCAACAACCCAACTGGTTTTGCCTGGTGAAAGGCCATGTGCTCACAGAGGACTCCAATTATTGCCTACAGGTAGAATGGGGCTTGAATCCCTTTGTTAGAACACAATAACACTTCATTGGCATACAGCTTGGCTGTTAATAAGTCCCCGACACTTATTAAAAGAAGTATAAGCAATTACTCCATCCCCATTTGTTAAATGTTGCAAAATGTGTGTGTGTGTGTGTGTGTCACAACAGTAACACCACTGACAGGTGAAGTAAATAACAAATATATCATTACAATGGCAGCTGTCAAGGGATGGGATATATTAGACAAGGAGTGGACAGTCAGTTCTTGAATTTAATGTGTTGAAAGTAGGAGAAATGGGCTTTGACAAGGGCCAAATAGTGATGGCTAGACAACTGGGTCAGCAAGTCCCAAAACAGCAAGTCTTGTGGGGTGCTCTCGGTGTGCAGTGGTTAGTAGCTACCAAAAGTGCTTCAAGGAAGGACAACCGGTGAACTGGCTTCAGGGTCATGAACAACCAAAGGTTAATTAATACACGTGGGGAGCGAAGACTAGACTGTCTGATCTGATCACACAGAAGAGCTACTAGAGATCAGATTTTTGGCCATGATAGAAATGTGTCAGAACTTGCCAGAATTTGCTCAATATGGGGCTGAGTAGCCAAAGACTGGTGATCAAGCTTTCAAGACTTAATCACCATGCTCCCAAATTAACATACAAAACTCCTATTCAGGGGGGAAACACCCAAACCACGTCATTCACCACGAGGCCTGGCCTTTAACAAGTTTACATTACACTTGTAGCAACACAGTCAAAATAATATATGAAATATAAGAATACCGGAGAGAAAATGTAATAAAAGTATAAAAATACTGTATAATGTGATAAAATGAAATATTTATTGGTAAATGGGTTGGTAAGTCAGGAATACACAGATATTAAAATGTAAAGAAGTCTGCCTGCAGCAATCAAAATATTCAAATATATGCAAATTGTACAATTTAACAGTTTCAGAGTTCTCACTGCAATGCTAAAATGGACAGACTTCAATGGCAGTGACACTCTCAGATACAGTGGTACAAAAATGAAGATAGGAGCTGCACTCAATCCCAGTTTTTGTTCCATTAAACCTGCCTGTGGCATGAACAATTTGAGTGTCTGGAGATTTTCTTTTTTTTGCACTCTCAGATACAGTGTCTAATTTACTCAATAATTCAAAATCAAAATATCAAAATATGTTGTTATTGACTATACTAAATAACTAAATAACCTACAATTTACACAAATAAAAAAAAAAATATCCAGTTTGAATAATGTAACTTTAACCCCTTAGCAGTGGTGTATCCTGGTTTTGTGCTGCCCTAGGCAGGACAAAACTCAGGCGCCCCCCTCCCCCATGCCACCCCCACCCAACCCTTCCCCCACCGCCCACACACACAGTCAGACACACACAAACACACACACACAGTCAGATACAAACACAAACACACACAGTAAGACACAAACACATACACACACAGTGACAAACACACACACACACACACACACACACAGTCAGACACAAACACACACACAGACACAAACACACACTCACACACAGTCAGACACAAACACACACACTCACACACAGTCAGACACAAACACACACACAGTCAGACACACACACACACAGTCAGACACAAACACACAGTCAGACACACACACACAGTCAGACACACACACACAGTCAGACACAAACACACACACAAACACAGAAAGACACAAACACACACACACAAACACACACAAACACACACAGTCAGACACACACACACACACACAGTCAGATACACACACACAGTCAGACACACACACACACACACCTCACACAGTAAGACACACACACACACAGTCAGACACACAAACACACACAGTCAGACACAAACACACACACACACAGTCAGATACAAACACAAACACACAGTAAGACACAAACACACACACACACAGTCAGACACAAACACACACACAGTCAGACACAAACACACACTCACACACAGTCAGACACAAACACACACACTCACACACAGTCAGACACAAACACACACACAGTCAGACACAAACACACACAAACACACACAAACACACACAGTCAGACACACACACACACAGTCAGACACACACACACACACACAGTCAGACACAAACACACACACACACACAGTCAGACACAAACACACACACACAGTCACAAACACATACACACACAGTCACAAACACACACACACACACAATCACTCACATTAACTTTTTTTTTAAATTTAACCCCCCCCACCTCCTTACCTTTGGGAATGCTGGGGGGGGGTCTCTCTCTCCATGGTGGTCCAGTAGCTGCCGGTCTGGCTGGGCGGCGCTGGCTGCTGTGCGGGCGGCTGGCGAGGGAGCACTTCCCCTGAGCACTCTTCTCAGCTCCCTCGCGCGCCGCAGAGTGAGGCTGGGAGCCGGAATATGACATCATCTTCCGGCTCCCAGCTGGCTGCTGCTCACAGGAAGAGCTCTCTCGCCAGCTGCCCGCACAGCAGCCAGCGCCGCCCAGCCCGACCGGCATGTCTGTTAGCCGCGAGGCTAACTAGGCATATGCCCTGGGCATTTGAGGGCGGCTTTTTTGCCGCCCCCTGAAAAATGCTGCCCAAGGCAAATGCCTTGTTTGCCTCGTGGCTAATACACCCCTGCCCCTTAGTGACCAGACCGTTTTAAAATTTTCTTACTG